CCGCCGACTCGGGGGCTGCGGGGCCGCCGTGCGCCAGCCCCTCCGTGCCCTGGGCTGTGGCGGCGGCTCCGGCTTGGCTGCCGCGGGGACGCGCGGGGGTAGTTGTTGGCTCCGCAGTGGAAGTGCCCTGTGGTGCCGGCTGAGGACGCGGCGCGGGGGGGAATCCCGCCCTCGGCCCGGGGGAGACTTCGGCGGGTCTGGCTGCAGGGGGTGATTTCTGCCTTGGTTCCGTGGACGTAACGTTGAACCGGGAGCCCGTGGGTCTTTCATTCTTGAGAGGTAATTTTCAAATGCCGCCTCGGAGATCTCCCCTGCTAACACCTCCTGCTGCAGCTGCATGAACGCGATTATATAATGGGGGTAAAAAGTCGATATTGGTGTTCTGGCTGCTCGTTATGTATTCCAGCTTTGATTCCTAGCGTCATTTTTCTGTAGTTCCGTACAATTCCTGCTAATTCTCGGCGTTGCTAATCAGAGCACTTCTATAGCAAACATGTTGGCATACCATTTTGAATTTCCAGCATGAGCTAGCACTAACACCGACGGTATCAAAACACACTGTTTCACATCAGCCTGGGACAGTTGGGGTTTTTTCTTCAAAAATCCCGTACAAAAGATATAGGAAGGAGACAGATTGCTATAGAGAACTCATAATATCTGCTATGTTTTATTTATCTCTGGAAGTATTTGTCAAACTTTTTTCTTTTTTTAAATTTGCTTTACTTCACATGCCTAAACAAGAAAGCAACTGGATCCTGTTTGTTTTCCTGGTAGATAATATTAAAAATAGTTCTGCATAAATGTGCCTGTTTATTTCCCTTCCCTGCTTTCAATGTGCAGTTTCTGCTTTGATCATGATTGTACAGCTCTGTATTTACACTTAAAAAGATTGAAGGCTTATTTTGAAATATGCCGATATGAATTAGTTTTCAAGTAAGGATTATGAGACAAAGGAGAGACAGCTAGTGAAAAAGAGGGGCATGATCAGGAGGAAAGCATTTGGTATTATGAATCAGCACCGCCTGAATTTGATAAACTGTGCTTGAGAGCAGCTGTAGTGACTGTCACTGAATGTCCAGCCCAACAACACCTCAGAGGGAGCAGATGTTTGGAGAAGAAAGCTTTGACAGAGCAGCTCTACTTCTCCATATCTCTTCTTTGCCTCCCACCCTCTGAGGCCTAGGGACTTTCACAGCTACAGCTTAGTGGCTTGGATTTTTTTGTTTTGTTTTGTTTTTCATTGCTCCCCCTGTGTTTGTCTTCTGTGGACTTGTTTGATTGCTTTTGAACAAGTAAGCAGGAGATGGTTGGAGAGTGGAATGGCTGAAGTGGAGTTCATGGAAAGGAAAAGATGGGAGAAAAGCCTGTCAAAGTTTACAAGAAGAGAAGGAATGGGGGAAGTGATGTGCCTAAACAGTTACAGTCAGTTTGTTCTCTGGGTAGGATTGATAATAAATGGAGAAGTAATAAAAGTTTAAAGAAAAGTCTTTTGTCAATTAATTTTTGGAAAACAAATTTGTTTATCTTGCTAATTCAAGACGCTAATATCTCAATTTAGAAGGGGGAAAACTGTGGAGTTGGGCTATGCATACTTAATATTCTCTTTACATTTTCTTAACCTGGTTTGTTTGTTTTCTTAACTTGCAGAAAAAACAAATATATTTCTAATGCTTATGGAAGAGACATAGTAGAATTTAATATTTTAATTTTTAATTTAATGTTTAGTCAAACACACAGTTTTAAAGGAAAGTATTTTTTGGTAGTCTGCGAAGAGGAACAATAATGAAAACAAATCCTGACTTTATGAATGTTGTTTTCTCAGACGACACATTTGCCTTGATTACATACTCTTAATTAACTTTTTTCCAAGATCCAATTAAAACAGTTAGCATTTTTTTAAAAAAAGGCAATTAGTAAGTATTGTAGGAGTATGTTATTTTGAGTTGTTAGATATTTTCTCTGAAGCCCTTCAATATACATAACTTAAGTTTGTAGAAAGCAAGCTGAATTAAAGCCTTGTGCCTTTCATATTCATAATGACCAACATCATCTGTTGGTTAAGTTTTTGAGTCTCTTAAATTGGGAATACTGCCTTCCTTTCATTGTAGTCTTGTCTGCCTAAGTGTCTGTAGTTGTAGCACATGCATTCTTTCTCCAGCAAGTGATTGGAATAATTGGATGGTGGGTTAGTGATAGTGCAGGGGCTCTTGTCTTGCTTTGCTCATTTTATGTACATTTGTGATGGGTTTTGTTGTATGCTTGTCCACAGAAACTGTATTCTCACAATGCAGCAGCAGAAGTGATTTAGTGAATTGTAGCTTTTCCTTAATTTCTCTCAGTGTTGTTTAACTTCGTGTGAACTGTGGAAAGTATTCAGTTAGCCATGAAGTAGCGTTTCAGGGAGGACTTAGTAGCGTTGAGCCAGCTGCAGGATTTCGGCAACGAAGAATGGGATCTCCTTTTTGGTCATGCTGACAGGGTTTGTGCTGTGGTCTTCGTGTTATTCCAGGCTGTGTAGCTGTCAACTTTTTTTTTTTTGCTGACTGTAACAGTAATCCTTCTGAGTCCCAGTGAGGCAGCTATTGTAGATTTGGGGTTGAAGGACAATATAAGGTTGGGATTTATTCTGGACAAAAAGTAAGGTGGTGTGATAGAACTGCTGTGGGCACTTAACCTTTTTGTATTAGTTTTCAACTTGGGAAGCAGCCAAAAGCAACCACCAAGTATCTTTATTTTCTTTTGTTGGAACAAATTTTACTTGTCTCCAATGGGGTTATTACCAAAATCTGTCATCTTGTCTGGTCTGTATTATTTTTACTTCCATAGTTTAATCCTTTAAAGAAAAAATCCCCAAATTTAATATTTTGGTAAGAGGTGGTTTATAATGTGTTTTGCTACATGGTAAGCTGTTGAGTTTCTCAAACTTCTTATGCCCTATTGTGATGACCAAGTTTTAATGATTCTTAGCATTAAATACCCATTTGACGACATCATAACATGTTCCTTTTTATTAATTAAAAAAAGTATAATTATGTTGCAATGATACAGAATTCTGACTCTTCAATATCTTATACTGGATTAACTACTTATTTTTTTTCTTTGGTTTTATCAGAGTGGCAGATGGAGTCAGTCTTTTAGTAGTGGATTGTTGTTGCCACAGGTTGATGGAGCACTTCTATGAGCATGTTAGAAGTACTTACTGTTATTTTTCTTATAGAAGGGTGAAACTATCAAATGTCACTTAAAATGGGTGTCAAAAACTAGTAGCTAGTCCAAACCTAACATTTTGGATATGTACCGTTCACGTGACTATATAGAGTGACATTGTATAGAAGTTGTTAGTTTTACATCTTTCACTTTTCAGGTGTTGTTCTTGATTTATATATAGTTCAAACAGTGAACTACTTTCAGGCATAGTAAAAAGAAATCCCAACTTCTGTGCTCTCTGAAACAGCAGAGCTAAACCCCAATATTCATTAAGCAAAGTAATTCCTCCCCTGCCCTGGAATGTACTAGTGGTGGAACTTTATGGGTTTGGCTGTAGATTCAGTATCTCTCAGCCCTTTGGAAAAAGAATTGTGATCAGTCTTTCTAAAGACAAAATTACAAAGGCAAGGTAAAAGTCCATAATAAGACACTTACAGACCATGATAGAATGGGGTTGAGATTTTTACATAAACTTTTTGGTGTCAGACTGGCACTAAAAATCATTCATGTTTCATTGATCTTCCTTGCATTTTTCCACTAGTAGGACTTTTAGAAAGAGTAAATAGGCCCTTATTTTCAAATGAAAGCGTAAAAGTTAATGGTCAACTAATCGGAAGATAACTAGTTTCATTTGATGAGTAGATACATCTTAATTTTCTTTAGTCAATAACTGAGGAAAATTACTTCTCTCTAAGCACTGTGCTCAGAAAAGGCTGCAGGAGCACTGTTCCAGACTTGAGTAGTATGGAGGAGGAATTCTTCTATAGCCACAAAAATATGCTTGCTTCAAGTTATACTGTAAGTGCTTCTGAAGACAAGTTGTGGATATACAAAGTAAATTGATGGGCAAAATTAAATGTTGGCATGGATTGTGTTAATTGTGTTAAACAGTCAAAACTGTTTGATGTATGCATCATCAGGGTTTAAATCTGCTGTGTTTACTGGGTAGCTCAGACAACTTTCCTATGTGGAAATTACTAAATTTGTTACACTTCTCACTTCTAAAACTTTCGCCTTTTATTTCTTGTTCTCTGGTAATAGCTGTAGGTTGCAATGAATTTGTGGGTCACAAGTAAAGCTGGTTACCTGTCAGTCATTTAGAAACTGCTTTACTCTTTTGAATTTGAGTGTATTTGCTAGAAAGTTGACCTTTTAGCTGATCATTTAAGGGAAAGAAGAGTGATATCCTGGAGGTAGGGCCTCATCAGCCTCTGTCACCTGATTTGTTTACAATTCTAGGAATTCATAAAGTTTCAAGTGTTACCATACTCCATAAGGCCATGCTTATGTTCCTTGGTTTCTCCATCAAGTCTTGTTTCATACATCCCTTTGGAAAGGGAACCATGCACAACTCCATAAACAGGAGATGAGCATTTTGGTTGTAGCCTGTAAATTATGGCATAAATTTACCTAATCTCTATAAACAAGGAGAATTACACTTAGAAAATACTGGGGCTGCTAGTACATAAAAATTAATGTTGCATGGAATGTTATGTTTTTGTGTTGTCAGATATTGGATCCTTTTAAACTTCCCAATTTAACTCCTTGCAAATTTTGTCTAAATTTTTTAATGAAGAGTTAAAAACATTGATTTCAGTTAAGGTTCAGTGAACATTTAAAAATACGACTTAGTGGTTTCTCACTTCCAAAATATGGACCTAAGGCTTTTAGTAAATTTAACTGCCTTTATATACTTTTGTTTGCTATTTTTGGCCTAATGTAGTTTAGATGCTAGTCCTGGCTCTCCTTTCCAGGAGGAAGTTGGCTAAAAGCAACATTGAGGAAGCTAGGCTTTGGGGAATGAGTAGGAAAGTAAAATTGTAGAAAGGAGTTTTAATGTTAAACATATGTGTCCTTCAGTGTCTGTTCCTTCTTTGAAATGCCTGATGATACTTACTTGAACTTCAGTGAAATGACTGAGTTGCATATTTTTGAAAAGAAAAAAAAATCTTCCAATCGAGTGCAGAAACAAACTGACTTTGCAGGAGTTGTTTTAGCTGATTAATCTGTTTCTTCCTTCTGTTTTGTTAGCCAAGGGGGTGGTCCTTCAAGTATATGTGCATGTAACTTGGCATGCTGAACCGCAAATACAAAGATGTTATCCAAACCGAGGTCTAAGGGAACAAAGAAAA